CAGAAAATTGCCCAGTTCACTGTGCAGCTATTACCAATTAATGTCTTTTCAGAGTGAAGTGCAAACCAAATTAGTTACAGTCATCCATCTTGGTATTTATGCAGTCACCACAAAAAAGTGACCCTTTAACTCCAAGCGGTCACTCAGAGCCGAAGCTCAGTCTGATGTGGGTCTTCGCCACCCTCCCTTGAGCCACTCAGTCACCTCCTTATTTTGAACCCTATTGGAATTCTTCAAGTTGCCTGTACAACTCACACCGCAGCCCATAATAGGCGTCGCTGCAAGCACAAGCCCGACCACAGTCATGCGTGACTAAAAAAACACAAACCGAGTTTTTAATCTGTCCCTGAAAAATAAATCCACTGGACGGTTTTTGTTGTCAGGGGCCTCTGTCAAGATAAGTGTCAACCACGAGGGCAAGATGGCAGTTCCTATCCCAAGAATGACAAACACACTCAAGTGCATTTATACAGAGTTAATATGCACTTAAATACCAGCTTGTCAAGATTAGCATAGCTTCAGTAATGGTTTTGTTGCGATAATTGCAGAAAAAACACCACTTTGCTGAGATTTCACGTTTCCTTATTAAGAATTGTTATAAGCTTTGTTGAATGCTCTTTCAGTCGTCGCAGTGCTACCTCCATTAGCATTGTTTTTAGCAATATGTGAATAATACCCTGGATATTTTTGCAAATTTAGTCCAGTGCATTGAATGGTCAAAGTAAAATATATATATAAATTATTTTCACATGTATCTATTGCAATTCATCGTAGTTTATTTATAATGTGTTCATCACTCTTTTTTCAGCTAATTTAACTTAGAAATTCAATATTCATGACAGCAAATTGCAAGGGTCCCAGGACACATAGGGGCTTTGTATAGCTGTACAGGCCAGTTCATGCAAAATCACAGATTATACTTAGCCACCACCTTCCCGAACCAACCTATCAAGCCACACTCACCCCACCCTAAGAGGCAGCCAAATCAGCTTAAGCGGGCACACAGCCCACAGGGCATTGCATATAAAGATGTAGACTGCAACAGCCTATGCACACCGCCAGTGACTTCGCTAAAGGTCACAGGTCGCTGCACTTTGTGCAACCCAAGCCCAGGCAGGGCACATGCTAATTGCTGTATTGGATGGGTCTTTTCTTCACTCCCATCCCAGGGGACCAAAATTGCCGACATAGGGCGCGTTCTTTAAAAGACTGCTGCATGTGTCTTGAAGAGAGAGAGAGAGGGAGACTCTGTACAGTTGAATTGAGAGAAAGGCATGTGCTCGTCCACAATTGTTTCATGCACAGAGGATAAAATACATCAACGGATAATCTAAAGTCTGAGCCCTCGGCAGACCGAAACGTGTCAAGAGGATGATACCGCACACAGCCACGTGGCTGGACACACTCGCACCACTCACCTCTGTTCACGACGCGTGCGTCACTCGCTGAGAGCGGACGTCAGCGGTGCTTGTGGCTTCATGCTCAGGGTATTGAGGGTTGACGCCAATGCACGGGCTGGTGGCGGAGGAGGTGGGGGGGGGGAAATGGGAGGGGTTGGGATGTGGGTGAGGATAAGGCTGGGGGAGTGGTGGATGTCGACTTATCATCGGGAGGGTGGGGTCCTTGCGACACTACTCAGGGCTTGTGCTCATCAAGGGGATATCATCTTGCAGCCCCTTGGGGGGAGGGGGGGGTCTCAAAAACATGAGGACGCCAAAAGCCCTGGCCAGCCAAGCCTGGGCTGCAAAGCACTTCACCAGAAGGTGGATCCTGGCACGAATTCCATGCCGTCTTTAAACATTAGGGTTCAACACCAAAAAAAACATAACACGAAACGGACGGTCCAGCACTACATCAGCAGCTCGCTAACGGGCCCTTCTTCATTATATGAGCATGCTTACTTAAAGGGTTAGACATCACTGTTCAACAAAGGCGCAGCAAGTCATGGGATATCTACCTTGACCGGCAATCCACATTGAGCCTGTTCACATTTTACGAGGGCGCGTTTGATCATTTCGTTGAGTATTGTGCAACGCAGCTTGAATGCTAAGTTATACTGGTAGGAACGAAGTGGACCAGACCACCAATAGATTAATGTGTCCGTCCGTCCGTCCGTCCGTCCGTCCGTCCGTCCGTCCGTCCGTCCGTGGGAGGGGTGGTGTTGAGGGTGGTGTTGGAAATGAAAGACTACGAGTCTTTAAATCTCACAGCGTTTCTTGTCAAAACTAACACTTTCAATTAACGTTACACTAGAATACAGTATTTTTTCTTTAACTCCTCTATACCCGGTCGATATCTCTGTACCGGTACTAAGTATTATTCCTACCAGCCCACCCCGCAGGGTCCTGTTTTACTGTTTAATTGCTTAACTGCAATATTTAATATACGTCTGATAGTCCCCCCCCCCCCACTATTGCTTAATTAATATTAATTGACAATGATTATAATATCAATGCATCTGATGATAGCACTACACTAGAAAACTATACAACGAAAAGCAACATTTGAACAGTTGGAATGCTGAATGATACCATTTGCATGGTAGACCAAAACATTATTTGAGAAACAATTGTGCTCCAAAGATGTATATATAACGTATATATAATGTATGTATATATATACACACACACTGTATGGTAAATTAAAAATGTGATTATCTGTCTACTTAAGAACAAGCATGGGTGGTGCGTGTCCTTTGATGGCAACACTGAGCCAGTGGTGACAATCTCCATTGACAGCATCGGATATTTGCCAATTGTTTGGGGGGGAAACTGCACTGGGAGTGGTGCACAAGCCCAAATCACACAAAACACTCACATTTTTGTCAGTAACTGTCTTTAAAATAATATAATCAGCGATGTCACGGGCAATGGCGCTTTTTTATATAATGTCCACGTGATGTGTTATGAAGAGGAGCCATTGCCTGAAACGTCTCTTATTATATATGTTCTCCCTTTAAGGCAGCGTTATTGACGAACATGTTGAGTTTTGGAAGTTTTGGACAAGCTGTATTCTAGCGAGTACTAAGGTTTCAACCTCTGCAGGGACAGCACATGGTACCAGGAGTCCAAGATTAGTTTAGGAAACAATTCATTAATTCACAAGTGTATGTGCTGTGCCACATTATTAATGCAAACACGATTGTATCTACGCTGTGTGTGTGCTTGATTTATTTAGCAATTGGATAATATGCGTCAAAGTGTATCATCGTCATCGTTACCGTCGTATTCTTTGACAATGCTGCACCATGAAATATGACTTTCATGCTCATCAGCCCTGCGAAGCTGCATGTGCGCAGAGTGGCGTGGAGGGTTACACCGTGATCCACTTTGCTTTGATTCTAACTCTGTTTGATGTGCATTGCATGTGCACTTTGTGCACACGGCAAAAAAAGTATCTCCGAGGTCAAATGTGACTCAGTGTTGAAAAACAGAGGGCTGCCTGATGCACGAAAAAAAAATGTGTCACCGATTCTGATTCTGAGACTAATTTTGCTGCTGCTGCTGCAGCGCAATTACAGGACGAACAAAAAAAGGTGTCATATTATCAAAGTACAATTACCGTGCGTTACCACTGATGTCACGTTGAATTGATGATGAAACCAACAGGAACAGAGTACAGAGCACAATTGTTGGAATTAATTTGAACTTTTTTACAATGAGGGTATTTGGGCATTTACTCAATGCCTCATTGGGAAGTAAGACAGAGACTCGTTTTTATCACCGTTTACACAAATAGATCCTGAACTTTGTACGTTACCCAATAATGATAATAAAGCCTTTGAAGTCTTATAGCCAAATTATCCCAACGCTGACCGTAATTCAGGTAAAACTGACGCCTTGCTGAAGTAAAACTCGAGCGAAGCTCATTTCTGTTTTCGGCCCAGAGAAATTTATGAAAATGTCACACTCCTATTGCCCTGTCCATCGGCAAATCCCAGCAAGTGTCTAACAAAACAAATTGAGGCTTAATATGGTCTAATTTTGTCGAAAGATTCCCACTCTTATTACCAGTCTAAACACACGCCCTGCAGTTGTTCGTGTGCAGGTAGATCCCTTTTGTTAATCCACTGCTGGATGAAGGCCTCCCCATGGCGTTGCAAGCCGTCGTGGCGGTTATTACACACACACATACTGTATATAATAACAATAATGCACTATAATTGAGTCAAACGCGACTGCTCGGCAACGTCACCGCTTAATTCGCGTGTCCGGATGTGGGCGGCGTGGTTGGGAATTTGGGTTTCGTTTTGCGAGGGCTTTGCCATCAAACCAGGTGCGCCCGTCTGCGGCCGATCGGTCACGCCCCGTGGGCTTTTCCACGCAGGGCCGGGGTGGGGGGGGGCCTCGTTGTTTATTGAAGGGGAAGAGCGCGGCGGCCCTTTGGCGTGCCACGCCGCCGCCGTGAGGGCACGCACCCTCCTCCTTCGGCACCTGGGCCCACGTCTGTCTCCGAGCACGCGCTCGTGACGAGCAGACGGGGTTGGCTGGGTGGCTGGGTGGGTGCGTGCATGGGGGGGAGGTCGCCTATGAGAAAACACATCAAAGGAAACGTTGCTAGGGAGTGGTGGGGGGGGGGGCTCGGAAAGGAAGTCTGAAAGTCATAAAAGGCACCCGTTAAATAAAGTGTCATTTATCTAACATAAATAAAGTGTCATTTATCTAACACTGTCCCGGCGTTTGCCATTGCTCAGGCACACTGCAAGTGTTTGTACGGTATATAATGGGAAAATCAGTATCTGAAGAAAATAAAAAAAAATTAAACATTTTCTGCTTTTTTTATAACTTGGAAGAGGTTGAGAGTAAATGTTGTAACTGTTGCTTGAAAGGTAAATGTCAAACATTCAGGTAAATAATATGTACCAGTAGAACAACCCTACACCAGACCACCCAGGTGCATAAGCAGAATAGAAGCGTCAGAACTGGTGGTTTTACTTAAGGAATCCGATGGACTGAATGTGTTGCTGGAAATGACTCAGTGTCCTAATATTTTCTCCACAGACCGCACACTATTCTAACAAGTGTCTACGTGGTGAGTAACCGATGGCACTGCAGCAAAATCCACTATTGTACTGCACGTACAATGCTCTCACGTTCACATGCCCCGCCTTCACAGTGCAACTCAACCACCGCGCAAAAGTTTGGTCAAATAATCCCCCACGACCCGCACGGCATGAGGGAGGAGGCCCTCATCCAGCAGTGGGTTCACAAAGAGCTCCACATGTACACATCTTCACAGGATCCAATCAACGAATACAGGTTCCAGGCCGTACTCTCTCGCTGCAACTCAATACCCTGAGGCGCAGTATGGCCCTTGGTATAACAACATTTTCTGATTGTATCTATGTACGTTGAACTTATTTCGCAGCGTACGTAGCCAACCATGCTCATTGGCAGCAATAACTTTCAATCAAACCTATCGTCGTGGAAATTCACACAGGACCCATAGCTAAATTGACACTCATTAATAACACCTACAGTACCCGCAACATTGTATCTTTCTTTTAATAATTCGTACAATTCAGTGGGTGGAGTGGCGGCACAGTGGTTAGCGCACTGTGCTGTGAAATTGGTTGATTCCCAGCCACGGCAAACGGCAAGGCGAACGATGTCCGAACCGGTCCCGCATCCACACCTCACCACACCCACACGAGCCCTACGTGGCGAAGCCTCATCAAACAACCGCCACACCCAGTCGTGGGCTGACAAAGAGCTGTAAATTATTCTATGTTATCACGTAATACAAAGTTAATGCAGACATGATTCCTTGTAAAAAGGGTTCAGTTTTGTTGCCAGAAAAAAGGGGAGAAACCCTATTCTCATATTTCGGTCCTGGAAAAGGAGGTCAAATGATGTAGATATTTACCCCGAGCTCTCATTACTCTGATAGTGCATTGTCTTTGAGCTGTACGCCTTTTGGCGTCCTCTGGTCTAGCACCGTTTGAGACGAGGCTCAAAAGAAAGCTGTCTCTGGTGTGGACCAATCAGTTTCAAGGACAATGCATATATTATCAGTGTGTTTTTGTTTGCATTCTGACCACAAGTATTGTGGTTAATGCAGACATGATTCCTTGTAAACAGGTTTCAGTTTTGTTGCCAGAAAAAGGGTAAAACCCCTATTGTCAGATTCAAAGTTGTAACATGAAACATGAATACAGTGTTGCGTCTCAATCGACTAAAGATCTCTTTGTTTCTAACTTGGCTGTGAACGAAATCCCAAGCCACGGTACAGTACCGTAATTTATCATCGGCATGACTCCACGATACGCACTATCTTTTTTCCATTTCATCAAATGGAAGGAATCTCAGTGGTATCCTAACTAGCTACATGAGGCATTGTGAATGGATATGAATTTAATACAAAACGAATGCAGTTGGTCGTTTTCCATATCCGAGCATCGCCTACCAAGAATCAAGACATGCCATCATTATACACGATATATATGTATATGGTTAGAATTTCTCCCTGCTCACCCTACCAGAAACGTGTAAATTATTGAGTAGGGGGTCCAGTGTTCAAGGGCCTAATCGACAGAGCACTTAAGAACCTTGCAGCTCAGGGAATGGATACGAGTGGACTGGTTTAGATTAAATAATACACATTACACCACTGCGGTTATCTTAAAGTATGAACCTTAAAACATACAACCATGTTAATTTAGCACATGTGTGTTTTTATTGGTTGAAGTTCTCTTGGGAGAACTTAAGAAAGGCACCGTCTTTGCTTTGTAATAACAATGTAATTTGTATTATAGTATGATCATCTTGCACTTTTTACATTTTGAGTTATGTTATAAATATCAACTTTCTTTTCATGCAACGTGCATACGCTCTTTGATGCTCCAAAGACATTACTGATCTCTGCATATAAAAACATAAATACATTGCACTATTATTGATCAATACTTACCACAAATCAATATAATGCGTAGAATACCGAGCACTAAAAAATAAAGAACAGAAAAATAAAATCGGGTGCTTTTATAAAAATGCAACTGTTTAAATCGCAGTGCTTCTGCTTGCGAGAAGAGAAAGACTGGTTTCTTTGATCGACTTTGCATTGCTATGAGCTGAACGTGCAGGCTAATAAGAAACACATGCATCCTCTCTCTCTCGCTCGCTCATATTTACCAGGTGTTCCATTTAATCCCTGACATTTCGTTCCAGGTTCCGTGACTCAAACATTTCTTTTTCAACGCAAACCTTTGAATTCAGAGCCACACACGTGTTCTCGGCTCACAGCACGGACGCTCACCAACATGTGAGCCACATTAAAGCGAGAGCGTTGGTTCTCCTTTACAGGAATCAGCACGGCGATGAAGACACACCCTGGGCAGCGCAGTGTTATTCTTTGCAAACGGTTGCGTAATATTTGTTGAGATCGGTGACGGCAGGCTCAACGTGTTAACGTAATTCAACTTTAAATCCCAAACTCTCTCTCTATAATTAGATTGTAAACCATTAACATAATAATAAAGTTATATGATTTGAAGCCTTTTCCTGCCCACTGCTGTATGAAGGCTTTCCCGCATGGCGTTGATTTTGGAGATGCTTTGATGGCATATCACCACGCTGGTCAGTTTGGGTTTGGTGAACGTCCGTGGGTCGAGGTCCGTGGACTGGATCAGATGCCGCTCGCCGCTGGTGTTACCCATGGCCAGGAATCAAACTCAGGTCTCCGTGCTAACAGTGCAGCACGCCATCCCCTGCACCGCTGCTCCCCTCCGCTGAAAAATAAATGTCATACATACGAAAATTTCATTTTTTTAAACGTTAAACAAAAAAGAGGGGGGGGGGGAAGGTACGTGAGAAAATGTATATTAGCGACGAATATATTTGAGGCCAATTACTCAACGGGTTAAAACAACTCATTGCTTGCAATGGTGGGAACTAGGTGCTCGACATTGACTATAACAGCGCAAAGCGTGACTGTGCAGTTCGCTAGTGCACCGCACAAGAGCTGCTGTTTGGTTTGGACGACACTGCCGTTCCAGCAGAATGAAGTCGGGCACCACCTGCCTCTCCTGCCAGCCAGGGTGAGAAAGGCAGCTCTTAACCACGGATGACTTCATATAGCGGGGAACATTTATACTTTAACTTTAATCAAACCGTTCTTGTGACAGTGCACCTTTTTTACATGCCAATTTAGTTTGATAACTTCTAATTATCATTTCAATAGGACGTGTTTTTTTTTAAAGCAATGAGTCATAGCTTTTTTTTCTGAATTGCAACGCAGTGTGGCAAGATAAGGAGCAACCCTGCAATTTATTTGCGGATGTAACTGCTGGAGGAAAGGCCTCCACTAGAGGTAGCTATAGAGTTTGCCTCTCGAGGATATGTTGGCCTCCTCTTTCCATTCTAGCCAGATGTCTTGGAAGAGATGGCAATACTCACACTTTACCCAAACTCAGGTGGCATACTACCAATCAACTAGCGAGTCTACGCGTACTGCTGGGAAAGTATTTAAGTAACATGCCCCCTGTTTCAGCTGCCATGCTCGGAGATCAATTGAATTCCTTGCACAAAAATGAACCCCCTTTAGCCAGTTGCGCAGCCAGATCGAACCGGCAACTTCTGGATCGCGACTCCAGAGTATCTCATTATTACACCACAGCAGCATGCCACAGTGTTGTATGTAATTATGAAAGTACAGTTCTTATTTAAAAGTAAAAACGCAATCCGCCATTGGGTTAACCAGGACTGCCTCCTTATTTGCAGGGCTGAATGCTTAATGAGCAAGCATTGCACTGTCCCCTTGCTGTGCTGACTCTAATAATAAACAACGACTTCAAAGTTCACGCATGTATCTCAAGGAAATCACTGTCAATCCAAACACCGGGATATTCCCTATGACTTTGTGCGTGACTTTTGTCAAAGCATCGCTCAACGTTTGACAAGGCGCACATGGTGATGAAGAGAGGCTGCCGTTTGAGAAAGTGTTCGCACATTATTCTCATCGTGCTCTTACATTGCGAGATCTGCCTTTCTGTGCTGAACATTATGGTTCATCGTGATGATGACGATATTCATCGCAATCATGGACCATTCCAGACAGTTTGTAAATTGCCACCTTGGGCAAATGTTGATCCTTTAGTTAAGCTAAGTTGGCATCTAGCTCTGTTTAGTAAGACGAAACAAACATATGAAAGACTCCATAGAGGTCAATAGAACCTTAGCATATTAATATATTTAATAATAATGGAGCGGTGGTGCCGTGATTAGTGCACGGCACTGTGAACCCAGTGACCCATGTTTTAATTCTTGGCCTCGGCTTACATATTGCGCAAAGCGATATCTAAACAAATGCGTCCACACCGCCACCGCTCGTAACCTCGCCAACCTGTGCTTACTACGGTGGTGAAATATGAT